AAGAGCTTTGTTTCAAAAGCCCAGAGAATAATGCAGATTAACTAATTTGAAGAAGAATAATTTTACAGAAATTCAAATATAGTCATTGTAAAATCTGAGAAAAAACAAGCTCTTTACTGCCAAAAAATGTTTGATTGAGCAGGTAAAATAGTATTTCTAAACTAAATATCTTCATTTAATGTGGCCTTTAGTGGGATAAGCAATACACAAAACAAAGTCAAACTAAATTTTGCAGATTAGATTTCCTTATTATGGGTTGTTGTTAGCCCAAGGCGGTTGTAGATTAAGGAAACGCATTTGCATTACTGAATCTGAAGACAGGTACACTGTGTTTCTTCAAGATACTTAACCAGCCCACCACGGGATTTTGCCCACATGTTATACCCTCAGTAGTCAGGCATCTTCCACCAATTATCGTCTAGATAATTCTGTTTCCACTTTTATTTTCTTTCAAACTTGTTCTCTCAAGCATCCTGCAGCTGTTATCTTTCCGTTATGGTATCTTTTATGATGACAGATACAATTGTCTCCATACATGCAAAGATAAAGATACAGAAATAGAGATCTGACATTTTGATGTCTAAAATCAATAAGGGCTGATGGCTAAGCTTGTCCCTTCTCCACATCTGAAAGCTTCCTTCTCCCATTTTCCTTTGGTGTCTTTCATAATAATAATTACGTCCACAAGGGGGCAGTCCTCTTTCAAACATTGGGTTGAACTAAATATGACATAGGATCCAATTTAATGGCACTGTTTCTTTTTTCTAGTTAGCTTACAGTGCTGCTTATCAGTCTCCCTTTCTTCCTAGGCAGGTGCAGATCAGGACTAGCAGAACTGAGAGTCCACCTATATGTGCCGAGCTGGCAGGATGTTCTAAAAAAAAATGGAAAGGGAATGAATCAATAATATAATGAATAGATGATAGGCATAAATGATAGGAGGAAAGGAACTGGTAAGACATCAGGTTATATGCTTCTGATATTCATAGTTTTACATAACTTGTTATTATGGATATATCTTTAAATGTTGGCAATCTTGCTTATTATTTACAACAAAATATACACAGGACATTCTCTGTTGTTCACTTACACAGCTGAAAGAATGTAAGAAGCAGTGGATTTCCTTATCGAGTAAGGCCCAGTGCAGAAAATCAAATCTAGCAGCCTTTTGGCAAAACTACCCTGGATATTAAATGTATTTCTCTTTCTAATAATGCATTTATTGGTTTGTTGTCTCCTTCACATCTTCTCCCCATCTTAACTATAATTTGATCAGGTCATCTGGTTTCTGTTCAAGGTTTTTTAAAGTGACAACATTTAACACTTATTTTACTTTTGAAATGCACATTTTCCAATGTTGAGCACAAGGGTTATTATCTACTGGTAGTGAGTAAACACAAGTATAGAGAGGGAGGTAAAAGAATTGTAGGAAGTCTGAAACTTGCAGCTTAAATGCAGGAAAGTTCTGGTTTAGGTAAGAACAGAAAAAAAGGAAGGAGAATTTTGAACAAACAAGAAGTTGGAAATATATATTCTGACAGCTTTTTCTTGTGGTTCAAATGTTGCAAAATAACTGAAATTCCCATCATAACATTTTTCATATATTCATTCAACTAGGGCTACTAGATCTGGCCTGCTAATATCCAGGCAAACACTATTGGGGAGCAAAGAGATGCAGAGGACTCTAACTCAGTGTTTTTCAAACTTGGCAACTTTAAGATGTGCAGACTTCAACTCCCAGAATTCCCCAG